AATAGTGCCGAAATTTCTTGTCTCTGCCCATCCGGTCATCGTATAATGCGTCTTAAACATCGAATCTATGCAAATAGCGTGTTGGTAAATTAGTAGAGCCTGGAAAAATGCAAGACCTACCCAAGTTTCTCGAATCATCTAGTCAGAGGGTTTTTGAATTTACTATATTTATACATGATTGTTTACATGCCAATTCTTGCTTTCCATTACAGGGACCTGACAGCGAATGATCTACCTCTTCTGGAGAATCTGCGCACTAAATCCTTGTCTGCCATAAGGGAAAAGTATGGTGTACGCCCAGATCAGATTCGTGCATACTTCCACTACCAACCATGTTTCTATCATCTGCATGTCCACTTTGTCAGGTATTGTTTCAACTCGTTACGCACTGCTCACATGCTAGGAGTCTGAGCTTCGAAAACTGAACAATCTCTCGAAAATCATACAGTCCTCATCATTACGTACTGTCGGGGCGGCACAGCCGCGCTGCACTGTGACGCGACAGCGGCTGCGGCTCGGTGACGGTGAATCAGCTGATTTCGATGGAATTCGGCTGCAAATTCCCACTTTTTCAGCTCTTCAAGCTTCTAAAGTGGAAGGTGAGTTATTCTGACCAATTTTGAATTGTACTGACTCTGAATGAATCTGAAAGAATGTAAGCCATTTGAATAAATGCCTGAAATAAGGCAAAATACAAGGAAAAGAGCATAATAATCGACATAAAAATAAAGGAAATCAGAGCCAGTACAATTCAAAATTGTTCAGAATAACTCACCTTCCACTTTAGAAGCTTGAAGAGCTGAAAAAGTGGGAATGCCGAATTCCATCGAAATCAGCTGATTCACCGTCACCGAGCCGCAGCCGCTTGCGCTACAGTGCAGCGCGGCTGTGCCGCCCCGACAGTACGTAATGATGAGGACTGTATTTAAATTCTACTTTTTTTGCATTTTCAAATTTCTCACCTAGCAAATTCTGCTTGCATGCACTCCGCATCCTTGAGGAGCGATAGGCTTGGCAGCGTACTTCATAAATATTCACGAAAATATCTCAACAGAAGGGTGGCTGCTAGCACGTTCAAACGAAGTCCAAAATTGAGGCTATGGGTTTATTATCATTCCTGGTGGTGAGCAATATTGTTGTCCAGGGAGGCCCTTCCCACCTTTCTTCTGATATGACCACCTCCAATCTGAAAGTAGTTGCACATTACCTCTTACCTCAGCTCACCTCCAACAAATGCTGCGGAAAAAATCTTGTCGAGGGTTGGCGAATAAAGGATGAAGCTTGCATCGCTGATCAATTGCATTTTGGGATGCGGTTCGTATTTTACTTCCGTTGAATCGTAATGGATCATAGAACAAGATATGGACTACGCAGCGAATTGCGGGGTCAGTGGATGAACAGATCAGCATTTTTCTTTATTCATCCTGTTGGATCTTTGCGCCAATTAACCATCTCTGGTACCATCGGCTAACCTAGGTGAGAGCCGAGTCGGACTCGATCTTCAGACAGCGCGAGTGCTAGGCGGGCTGCTTACCTCTACACCACCTTCGCCTCACTGGGGTATTTACTACATTGAAACGGTGTCCAGGTGATTCATAACCAGCCCCCCCCCCCTCACCGATTCTGACAAATCTGTACACTTACCTCCGTGGATCCTGGATCTTGTCGAGTGAAGGGAGAATGGGTCCGCAGCTGCACTAGTGTGCCACTTTCTCTTCGTGAAAAGTGCACGAACAGGTGAAGCGCAAATACACGAGCGCTGTCTCCATACTCCCTCCGTGCTGCTGCTGGCCCAGCCACACGTCTAACCATAGCCAAACGCGCGCCCTCTCTTTTCTGCCGCCCACTACCGCTGAGTGCGTATAGATAGCCATCGCAGGATTGACTCAAGTGCTGCACATTAAGGGTAGCATGGGCGAAGTAACCTAGGTGTAACTGCTCTCCAACTCCGTCTTGCCCATTATCTCCAGTATTTATATTTTAATTGGAATATTATGGTGAACCCGCTCGCTTGAGGTCCCCCTTGGTTTGTTCGCCTGGGGTCCCGGACGAATTCGTTCGTAACGGGTTAAGTTGTCAGCAAGCCCCAGTACTGTTGTCACCTCTCTGCGTTCTGGACCAAGGACCAGGATCTCGCGGGTGGACCTTTCATCTACCTGAAGGGGAAAATGGCCTTATCGTCCTGTCACAATAAAGGTCCCGGTTCTTATTTCCTTTACTTCGACTCACAGCCTATTCTTTCGCTCTTGTTCCCAGTGTTCCTTTTCCTATGTTTTTGTTATGTTTTGCTTTTGTTTTGTTTTCAAATCTTCACTGTGCCATTTGCTGCGTATTTCAAATTTTTTCTGGGGTCTGTGGCACACCCTCGGGTGTATTCAAATGAAATAAATTATTAGCACTGAAGTGACAAGCGAGCTTCGTTGGTTCCTTTCTTTCTTGAAAACCTCAGATTTTTCAGTTTGAAATATGATGCACCAGCCAGTTCAACTCTAGCCGCGGTTCTTCTCGATGATGTCATCAACAATTTGAAGATCGTACCAGATTTCTACAAAAAGGCCACGTTAACATTCGCCAGGAAGCGGTCGGATAAGCTTTTACAGATGTTTAGGGAAGCTGGTCGATGTGAGGAATGACTACTGCGTTGCTGTTGTTGTTGTTGTATGTTGTATTTTTTCACAGAGATCCACTGGTAGCTAACTAACTTCTAGATTTGAATTAACTTAAAAAACGTGTAAACTATCATCCAGCATCTCATAATGTTAATATTGTTTGCGTAAATAAATTTGGTTTCCTCTGTTGCTTTACTACCGTATGAACATCTTCCTTTGCGGAGAACATATTTCATTCAAAAATTGACCAGTTGAAATTGAATATTTATGGATGGATCTTAAGGCTGTGATTGAAATGTGCTCGCTGCTTGTCTTGTACGGCAGCGAGACCGGAACAGCTGAAGATGTTGCTGAAGGTATCTGGAAGGAAGCTCGATTACTGGATGTACCCGCTCGATTATTCGGTATGGATCAATACGATATTGAGGTGACTTTCGGAGTTATAGCTATAGCTTGTAGGTTCATTCCCTCCATAACAAGTATTTTATAGAATCTACCCAACGAGAAAGTCGTTGTATTCGTTGTGGCAACAACAGGACAAGGTGAAATCCCTCCAAATATGCGTTCCACTTGGCTGCGCATGTTACGTAAAAGTCTTCCACGGGACTGGCTCCAGAATGTGAGCTTGGAATCTTTTTTGCGAAGTAAACTAGAACTCTACTAGTACTCGAATAAATGTCTCAGCGCGACAATTGGGCGGAGGTGTGGTCCACGTTGAAGCCACTTGGCGAGGGAGCCGTTGCAGAATTAGTGGATTCAACGTAGGTGTGACTAGCGTTCAAGTGCCACGATGTTTCGAGCGTCGAGCTATGAAATTTTCTCGCAGTTCGGCGAATGGGAGGGGCATTTTGCATTTCCCACTAGTTCCGGTT